AAGAGCAGGCTAGCAGTCCCCAGGCTCAGGTGACAGGGCCGGGCCCAGGAGACAGGGATGCTGACTGGGGCTTTAACAGCGCTGTTGATGCCAATCTCGGGCAAAAACCTGATATTTCCACTTGGCATAACAAGAAACAGCCAAGAGGATTAGAGAGAGGTCAGTGGACAAGCAGAGCCCCCTGCAGGTCTTGTCCGGGGATGCCAGAACAGAGAAGGGCAGCTGCTGCTGGACAGGGTTCTCAGGAGTCTGATGAGGAGATGCTGCTGCTGCTGCTGATGGCAGTAGTGGTAGTGGCAAGAGAAGGAAAAGGAAGAGAGAGGAAAACACAGTTTGTCAGGCTCTAAATAAACAACCCTCAAGAAGAAGATACTATTTATTGTGGCTTTTGATATGAAACGCCCCTTCCCAAAGGCTCAGGCGTTGGAGCTTGTGGTGCCATCAAGAGATGACCTTGTTGATGGGATGACGCTAAGTGAACTGTAAGGAGGTGAGTGCTGCCCGGAGGAAGTAGGTCGCCAGTGGCATGCCCTCGACCTTCCTAATGCTATGACCCTTTTAACACAGGTCGCCATGTTGTGGTGACCCCCCCAACCATAAAATTATTTTCATTGCTACTTCATAACTGTACTTTTGCTACTGTTATGAATCGTAACGTAAATATTTTTGGAGCTAGAGGTTTGCCAAATTAGTTATGACATACATGATGAGAACTAGGAGAAAAAAAAAAGCAAAACAAAAACACCTCTTTTATCCCTTCCTCTCTCCTCAATTCTCCTTTTTTTTCTTTTCATGCTTCCCCTTCCTCTCTTCTCTCTCCCTACTCCCCACCTCTCCAGGCTCCATGAGGTCTGTTTTGCCCTGCTATCTACCATGATGCTCTATCTCATATCTCCAAGAAAAATGGAGCCAAACAGCCCTGGACTGAAACTTCTGAAACTGAGAACCAAAATTAATTTTTCCTCTTTTAAGTATGGCTTAGGTATTCTGTCACAGCAATGAAAAGAGAGTAATACAACATGGTTATTCTCATCTCTCTCTCTTTTAAGTTTTTAAAGATTTATTTTTTTTATATACAGTATTATGCCTGCATATATGACTACACGTCACAAGAGGGCACCAGATCTCATTATTGATGGTTATGAGCCACTTTGTGGTTGCTGGGAATTGAACTTGGAACTTTTGGAAGAACAGCCAGTGCTCTTAACCTCTGAGCCATCTCTCCAGCCCCTTATTCTCTTCTCTTAGATTTAAAAAAACTAACATTTTCCAAACATAGTCGCTCATGTCTGTAATCCCGGAATTAGAGAGGCAGAGGCAAGGGGATGCACTGCAGGTTCAAGGGTGGCCTGGACTATATAGTGAGTTCAGAAAGAGAGAGAGAGAGAGAGAGAGAGAGAGAGGGAGGGAGGAAGGAAGGAAGGAAAGGAAGGAAAGGAGAACAGAAAAAAGGAAAACAAAAGAAAGGAAGGGAAAAATAAAGAGAAAAAATAAAGTTATTTGCTCAAAGTCATGCATCTGCTATCACATGGAGCAGGATCTGAACTCAAGTCATTGCCTCTGGAGCTTATATTACCCCATACCCCTGTCCTGTTTTGTCAGCACATTCCAGTAACTCTTAGCCTTCTAATGTGCAGTTCTGTTTCTTCCTGATCTTCTAGTTACATGTTCTCCAATGTTAAGGCCCAGGAGAATGCATAGAAAACATCTTGTGCATAACAATATTGGTGATAGTAATAACACCAGCTTGAATTTATATCTCACTCTGCTTTTAATTGTTTCCCTGGGGCTGTTGACTGAAGGCTGGGAATGTAGTTCTGTGGTACAGTGGTTGACTAATATCCATAAAGCCCTGGGTTCCATCCACAGCACTGCAAATAAATAAGTAAACGAACAAATAAATAAATCCTGGGGGAAATTAACATCGAAATGTTTCTATTTCTCCAAAACATTTCTGTACTAGCTGGTTTTGTGTGTCAACTTGACACAAGCTAGAGTCATCAGTGAGGGAGGAACCTCAGTTTAGGAAATGCCTCCATGAGATCCAGCGGTAAGGTATTTTCTCAATTAGTGATCAACAGGAGAAAGCCTAGCTCGTGGTGGGTGGTGCCATCCCTAGGCTGGTGGTGCTGGGTTCTATAAGAAAGCAGGCAGTGAAAGCCATGGGGAGCAAGCCAGGAAGCAGCATCCCTCCACGGCCTCTGCATCAGCTCCTGCCTCCAGGATCCTGACCTAGTTGAGTTCCCGTCCTGACATTCTTCAGTGGTGCACAGCAATGTGGAAGTGTAAGGTGAATAAACCCTTTCCTCTACAACTTGCTTTTTGCTCATGGTGTTCTGTCACAGCAACAGAAACCCTAACCAAGACAGTTTCTTAATTTTTGTCAGTCATTTTGCAGTTGTTTTCATATAACCATAATCACCTTGTATAGATATTTTATGTCTTGATTTCCTTTCCTCTTTCTTTCATTCTTTCGAAGACAATTTTTTCATGGAACCCAGTCTGGCTTTGAACTTGATATGTAGCCCACGCTGGCCTTGAACTCCTGATCTTCTTGAACTCTAGCTTATGCTCTACTTTTTCTATAGCGGCACTATCTACAGACACATAGCAATGGCAATGACTTTGCAGTAACCCAACATACTGAATGCTACAGTTACCACATTCTTGTGGTGACGTAAAGCTCATGAAGCTGACAGTACCAAGCGCTGGCAAGAACGCAGAGCAACAGGGACGGGAATGTGTTGCTAGTGAGGCTGCAAAATGGTGCAGTCACTTTACAAGATGGTTTGGCAGTCACCTGAAAAAACTAAACATATTCTTCACATATGATACTGCAACCATACCCCTTGGTATTTACTGTCCAAAAAAAAAAAAAAAAAAAAAAGGCTGAAAACTTGCCTAAATAAAATCCCTGTACACAGATGTTTATAGCAACTTTATTTGGATTTGACAAAAACTGGAAGCCTTTCAGTGGGTGAATGGACAAATGAACTGTGGCACAGCCTGGCCATGGACTATAACTCAGTACCAAAAAGAAATGAGTTATGGAGCTATAAAAAGACATGGGACAATCTTAAATGCACAAGCGAAAGAAGCCAATCAGAGGAGCCACAGGCTATATGATTCCAACTCCTTGACATTCTGCAAAAGAGCTATGGAAACGCTTAAAAAAAAAGAAATCAGAGATTGCCAAAGGCGGAGGGGAGGGTGAGATGACTAAGCAGAGGACAGCTCTCTGCACTGTCATGGTGGATGCGTGCCATCATGCCCTGTTCCAGACGTACAGCAAGAGAAATACACCGAGAGGGAGCGCTGACGGGAAGGAGAGACCAGTGATCACGCTGTGCCGATTTAGGTTCTTCAACTGTAAACAAAGTACTATTCTCATTGGGGATGTCAACAGAGAGAATGGCCCTGAATCGGTCGGACAGAAGACATACGGAAACACTGTGCACCTTTCTCTCAACTTACGTGTGCTGTTGTGTATGTGAATACACTTTTGCGTGTGTGCATGTATACACACGTGCACACACGGAGGCCAGAAGTCAGTGTCTTCTCGTATCACTCTCCACCTTATTTTTTGAGACAGGGCCCCTCATTAAACCCGGAATTCACCTACTTGGTGAGGGTAACTGGCCAGGGAGCTGCAGGCAGCCTCCTGCCTCTACATCGCCGGCTGGGACTACAGGGACTTGTCACGATGTCCTGCATTTTACACGGGCGCTGAGGACCCACACCCAGGCCCTCATTTGTCCGACAAGCACTTCACCGACAGAGCCACCTCCCCAGGCTCTTCTCTTAATTTTTTTTTTCTTTTGCTGTAAAATTAAAACCAACGTTTGAGAAAGTCTTTTGTGTGTCTACCTATGATCCTGACACCGAGGAGGCTGAGCCAGTAAGACCTGGGGTGGGGTTGGAGAACACCTAACAAAAACTAACAAACCTTTTAAATGAAAACCCTGAGGGCAATGACGAGACCTGTGACTCTCTTGTATCTCTATCCAACTCTGGAATTCGATAAGCTACTTTTTCCATTTCCTCATCCATAAATAGAAAACAAACAAACAAACCAATAACTGTCTCAGGTCTGTCACAGGAATTAAATAAGCTGAGGATCAATGGAGCAGTAGTAGCAGAAGGTAGCGGTAGTCTATGAAACTCTGCGTCTTTCCTTCTCATCCATCATAAGCTGCTTCTGGGCAGGGGTGTATTCATTTCGTAATCACCTCAACCTAGCACAGTGTGTGGCATTTGGGCCCCATAAGTCTGTTGAGTCGATGTGCGTGCTACCCTAAGCTTTTCTCTCCACTGGACATTTGAGGGTTTCCTCGACTTTTCGACATCTCAAAACCCTTCTATTTGCATTGCCTGATTTGATCTGCATCCCATGTGAAGCAGGCAGAGGAGGGCTGTTAGCCCGTGCCCACACTCTGAGACACAATAACTAGCTCAGAGACTCAAAGGGGCTTCTCTGGGTCACATTCTATATATCTGTGATGGTGGAACCTCTGGCCCTGCCTCTAGCCCCTACTTCTGAAGACCTCCCTTCCCTCTAGCTGCTGCCTTCTGCACTAGAGGTCTCTTCAAATATGGAGCCTTGTCGTGCTGGGCCTGGTCCGAGAGCAACGCTTTCACCCGGTGGCCCCTGCTGGGGACTGTAAGCTGTGAGACCCCAGATGACCCCTTGAAATGAAGTATTTTATTCCCAATGCCTCCAAGCCTTTATTTTCCCAGAGTGAGGAGCTTCTTAGAGACAGGTCAGCATGCCAGGATTTTTCCCCCCTGCTTTTCCCCTTATAAAGGGGTGAAGAGATGACTCTCAGTGTCCAGGAGGAGGGAATATGGCTAAAAATAGCTGTGGCGTGTGGATCAGCCAGAGTGGTACCCAGGACTGGGAAAGGGAGGGGGACGCTGTAGAGCTGTAGCCAGACTGGTTGCCATGGAAACGAGAGAGGAGCAGGGGAACCTGGGAAGTGGGGATGACACAGATACCAAGTCCTAGTCTGAGCTGCCGTTACATTTAGGAGAAACAGCAGTGACTGCTGCTCCCACTCTCAGAGGGGACCCAGGGTGTTGGGGGGAGATGGTGTCAGGGACATGGACACCAGCCCCCAAGGGTCTCTGCCGTTGGCTACTCTCCTCTTCAGGCTCTGTGAGTTGAGTTACGGGACTTGGGGTTTGGGCCCCTATTTCTGAGGCAAGTGGGGCTTGGGTGGAGCTGGTTCCGAGGGAGTTCTCACCAGACAGACTTCTTTCCAAAAGATGAGCCCCCATACTGGCCGGCACGCTCTGGGCGCGGGGGGGAGAGCACCAAGAAAAGGTGACAGTGGGATCTTACTGAAAGGGGTCACTGCATGCCCAAGAACTGTGGTCAGAGGAACTGGAGTTATCTGGAGGGAAGAGGCAGAAACGAAGACCTTGCTCTTCAGGTAGTGGACACTGCACACCTTTCCCGTCCCGTGAAAAAGAGACCCTTCCTCAGGGTGGCAAGAGCTAGGGTACGATTGATCAGAAGGTTCCCTGAGCAAGCAGTGTTCTCCGGATGATCGGAAACTGGGAAACCATTCCTGGGCATAGATGGAAGTCAGATTACCTAAGACCCTAAGAAGAATGTCTAGAAGCCCACCTGGAGCTAATGCTGGGAGGAAAGAGACCTGGGGTCTTGGGGCACTGAATAGGTGCAGACCACTTCCAGAGGGCAGCCTGAGCTGCAGAGAGGGAAAAGCTAGCCTGCTGTGGGGGAGGGGAAGATCTGCCTTTGCCAAGGTGTTCCTGTGTCTCCTGACTTCCATGGAAAATAAGTGTGTGTGGGTCCCCTTAGAACACAAACTGTCTTCTTGTAGTTTCTCCTTCCATTTTTTAATTTCACGTACACACGCCCTCCAAAGGTCTGGAGGCAGAACACTTCATTCCAAAATTTAAAACTTGGAATGTCGGGTTTGTGGTTACATACCCTCGCAGTTTCTCCCTAGGACCTGGTCAAACATCCAAACCATCTGTGATCCTTATGTCACATTTCTCCTCCCCCCCCCCCCCCCCCTGACCCCCCCCCCTCCCTGCCCCCCCCCCACCATGGAAGGAGATGACAAATCCCAGGAAAGAGAAAGGAAGAAGGTTGGTGAGTCCTAAATTCTTGTTCTCCAGGCTTTCGTTCATATGGTCTTTATCTCTTAGGGGACCCTGAGCGCCTAGGGAAGGACCCTGGACATCCATCTCTCTGGGCAGATTAACTAAATCAGGTGGGTTTTGCTTGGAATCTGGGCCTTGCTCAGAATGTGGGCTTCGGGACATATGGGAGGTGGGGGTGGGGCTGGGGTTGGGGTAGTAAAAGCAAAGCAGGATACTTGGAGGGGATTGCTGCGGTGGGTGCCTGGTGTTTCTTACCTCTCTCGGGAAGGCCAGAGGTCTGAGAGAGACTAGACTAGCGTAGCTCTGGGTGTCCTGGCACTTCCTTTATGCTTGCTGTGGGCAGTTGATCTCACACAGCCTCCAGGCTCCTACTGCCAACGCTTTTCAGCATGTCTCCCTTGGGAAAGAGCCCAGGGGGAAAGGGCCGATGTCAGAGCATCAGTGACCATGGTTAAGCAGTCGGGGTTGCCAGTGGGAATGCCCTAATGTTGGGAACATTCAACCTTTGCACACCGGAGAATTTCTGTGCACAGCCTGCATTTCCTCCTCCTTGATAAGCCTGGGGTGGAGAAAACATGCACGAGGCGATGGGAAGAGTAAGGTCCAGGGAGAGAGAAGAGAAGGAAGGCCTTGGTGTGAACTCTGAAACAGTCTTCAGACGGGTCTTTGGGTAGGACGGTGAAGAATCTTGGGAAAGGGGGTAGACAGCCAGGGAAAGGGTTGGGGAAAGCCCTCACGGCAGGGGGGCTCCGCAAAAAGAAGGAACTGCCAAGGAGTCCACCTCTTACGGTTTCAGAACCCCGGGTGCTGATCCTGTGAGGGGCTTGAGGAGATGACACCGAAATGTCTAAAGCCTCCTTCTCGTTGAACTTACACTGTGCCGCCCAGTTTGTGCCCTTTTCCCCGTGTGATCCCGTACAATTCTTTCTGAACCTTTATTTTTGCTTTCTGGGTCTGGATATCTTTGCCTTCGTGTTCACCTGTGCAGCACCCTCAGAGGCCAGAAGAGGGTGAGAGACTGCAGTAACCGCCGGTTGTGAGCCGACAGGCGGGTGCTGGGAATCCAAACCAGACCCCCCCCCCCGCCCCCAGCAGCCAGTGAGCCCCTTGAGCCGTCTCTCCAGCCCCGCCCCCTCCTCGCCACTTTCTGAGCACCGAGGGATGCTAGTCAGGGCTGCGGTTCCCAGCCCGCCAGCGGGGAAAACTGGGGCCAAGAGACAGGAAGGGGAGATTTGCTCGCTGCGCCGGCCCCGGGTCCCGAGCGGCTCCGTCAACTCGGCACACCTCTATTAAGACCCCGCAGGATCCCCTGCCGCCGCCGCCGCCGCCATGGCGCAGGAGAACGCCGCTTTCTCTCCGGGGTCCGAGGAGCCTCCGAGGCGCCGCGGCCGCCAGCGCTACGTGGAGAAGGACGGGCGCTGCAACGTGCAGCAGGGCAACGTCCGCGAGACCTACCGCTACCTGACCGACCTGTTCACCACGCTGGTGGACCTGCAGTGGCGCCTCAGCCTGCTCTTCTTCGTGCTGGCCTACGCGCTCACCTGGCTCTTCTTCGGCGCCATCTGGTGGCTCATCGCCTACGGCCGCGGCGACCTGGAGCACCTGGAGGACACGGCGTGGACCCCGTGCGTCAACAACCTCAACGGCTTCGTGGCCGCCTTCCTCTTCTCCATCGAGACCGAGACCACCATCGGCTACGGGCACCGCGTCATCACCGACCAGTGCCCCGAGGGCATCGTGCTGCTGCTGCTGCAGGCCATCCTGGGCTCCATGGTGAACGCCTTCATGGTGGGCTGCATGTTCGTCAAGATCTCGCAGCCCAACAAGCGCGCCGCCACGCTCGTCTTCTCGTCGCACGCCGTGGTGTCCCTGCGCGACGGGCGCCTCTGCCTCATGTTTCGCGTGGGCGACCTGCGGTCCTCGCACATCGTCGAGGCCTCCATCCGCGCCAAGCTCATCCGCTCGCGCCAGACCCTCGAGGGCGAGTTCATCCCGCTGCACCAGACCGACCTCAGCGTGGGCTTCGACACGGGCGACGACCGCCTCTTCCTCGTCTCACCTCTTGTCATTAGCCACGAGATCGATGCCGCCAGCCCCTTCTGGGAGGCGTCGCGCCGCGCCCTCGAGAGGGACGACTTCGAGATCGTGGTCATTCTCGAGGGCATGGTGGAGGCCACGGGTGCGGGCAGGCTGGAGGATGGGGGGCGGGGGTGCCGGGCCAGGGCAGGGCAAGCAGCCAGGGGGAGGGGCAGAAAGATAAACAGAGAGAGGGGGGTGTAGGGTGACAGGCGGAGGAGGGGTGGTGTGTGCTGGGGCAGGGCTGGAGGTGAAAGGTATGGACAGGGTGACTCTGCAAAGTCAAGAAAGGGCTTGGAAGAGTTCTAGGAAAGGGCGCTAGCTTGAGGCCCTGGCCTGACAGGTGTGTCACTTTGAATAGCACTTTACACCTCTGAGTGCATTTAATTCTGGCAAAGCTCCCCGGGAGGCTACTTAATACTGTGCTCACTTTTCAGAAAATGAGTAGCCCCGAAAGAAAAGTCCCAGAAATAGCCAGCTGTCACAAGCCAACGCATAGCATAGCCCGGGTTGAACACAGGACGTCTATCTTCAGTGTTTCCTGGGACGGTGTAGGGATGAAGGTTAAGTGCAAGGTTCTGGTGCCCAGAGGGCCAGAGCCCTGGATTTTGATTGACCTGAGTTATTCCCAAGGAGGCAAACTTAGGAGTGGGGAGGTGATACCTGGTCTCGCTTCTGCCTCTGTTACCCCCCTCTGTCACTCTTAACTTCCCCTGGTGTTGCCGTTTCTAGCGCCATTCCAGAAGGAACTATGACGTCAGTACCTTCCCTCGGGCCTACACCGGCACGAGCTCGGGAGCAGGTAGGAAAAGACTAGCATGGGAGCAAAGACAGGTCCTTTCAGACGTTCTAGCCCTCTCTAGCCCTCGAGAGAGCCTAAGGAAAATGCAAGTAAACTAAAGGACCGATAGGAGGCGCTGTGGTGCTGCTATTGACAGACTTGCTCCCTGCTGCTAGCCTGGAAACCTGACTCCAGATCCTAAGCAAAAAAAACAAAAAAAAAAAAACAAAAAAAAACAAAAAAAAAAAAAAACAAAAAAAAAAGAAACAAAAAACAAAAAAAAAACCAGCCTGGGCTTCTTCTCCACCTCAGTTGTATGCACTCCCCACTCCTCCTTCACTCCGACTAGTCTGGTCCTAACCCTTCCCCTTCCCTTACTACTTTCTGTCTCTCCATCTTTCCCTCCCTTTGACACTATCTTGGGCAGGTTTCTTACAGGGACTTTTTGAACTGCCTTCTTTTGCCTTTTGCCTCTACCTCCCATCTACCCCAACTCCCTCCAGCCCCATCTCGCTTCTCAGGTCTTCTCTTTTCAGAGGCCCTGTGGCCTCTCCTTCTCCACCTTCACTGGATACATCTTATTCCAGCTTTGCCAAAGAATCTTGTCCCTAAGATGTCTCAGGGTCAGAATTGCACTGAGAGCCAGTCTCCGGTTAGTGAATGTTTATGCCTCTGTTTCGGAGATGAATTTTGGTTTGGGGAGACTCCGAGGTAGGAACAAAATGATCCATCTTGAGAGGAGGGTGCAAAAACCCAAAGGGGAAGGCAGGACACAGGCCCGGGCAAGGACTGGAAAGGGCAGTATAAAGGACATAGGGGTAGGAGCTTGTTTGATTTTTCTAGAGATAAAGCTGGGAAGGGTGGTAGTATTTTGGGATTCAAACTGCTTTTGAAAAGCAAGAATAATGAGCCAAAACCCAACACGATGACATTTAAAGGGAATAAATATAAAATTCTACATTTAGGCTTTAAAAAAATCACTTATGTAAGCACAGCATGGAAAGGCTCTGATGGAGAAAGAACTGGGGGTTTTAGTTGGCTACAGGCTTGCTTGTAGCAACGTGATGCGGCTTCCAAAGGCGTTTATGTAATGTAATCACGGGCCGCTTCACTAAAGCATCTTGGCAGGAAGCAAGGGGTGGTAAGCCTTCTTTTCCGCATAGATGAGGCCACAGTTGGAAAACGTATCACACTTCAGATGGACCCTTACCTGGTCCTCTGTGGCCATTCTGATTTGCAATGAAAAGAGTAAACTTTTAGGAGCCAGATCAAATGGAAATGGTCATGAATTCAGTCTGAAGAAGAGAAAACATAAGGGAGCCTGGGGCTGTATTTACAGATACTCAAGGGATGTCAGGTGGGAAGGGAAGGAAGCCAAGGGGGTAGAGATCCTAGCAGACAGACTTTAGTTTGTGTAAAGGAACCCACAGCCAGTGAGGTGGCTCAGCAGGCTAAGGTGCTTGCCACCAGGCCCGATGGCTTGAGTTAGATCGCCAGGTCTTACACTGTGGAGTGAGCCGATTCCCCAAGTTGCCCTCTGACCTCCACACACACACGCACATACATGCATGCATATAAACGCAAATAACTGTAATTCACATTTTTAAAATGCAGCCCCAACGCTGGAGCCACCACACAAAGGACTGAGCTCCAGTGAGGTAGCGGGCTTGCAATGCTAGGAGCTGATCAGTTCAGCTACTTTCCCATGGTTTGGCCGTGTTTGCGGGTGGGTGGAAGAGGCCCTGTGGGAAATGGGAAGCCGAACTAGATTGAAAACTAGGTTAGTTTTAAGGTTAAGCTTCTCAAAGGCGGGTAGGCTGGCAGATGGAGAAGAGGGCTGACCAGAGAGGTGGGAGTCCTGGAGAGAGAAGAGGGTTGTGGGATGAGAGACAGGAGCGGGGAATCTCCCAGCTCAGGCCCCTTTGACTAATGCCGTCTCCCCCCACCCCCAGGAATGACGTGCCAAGCTCGCAGCTCTTACCTGGTGGACGAAGTGCTATGGGGCCACCGGTTCACATCCGTGCTCACCCTGGAGGACGGCTTCTATGAGGTGGACTATGCCAGCTTCCACGAGACCTTTGAGGTGCCCACGCCCTCATGCAGCGCCCGGGAACTGGCAGAAGCCGCAGCCCGCCTTGACGCCCATCTCTACTGGTCCATCCCCAGCAGGCTAGATGAGAAGGTGGAGGAAGAAGGAGCTGGGGAGGGAGCGGGTGGGGGAGATGGAACGGACAAAGAACAGAATGGCTGCCTGCCACCCCCAGAGAGTGAGTCCAAGGTGTGACTAGTCTTCTCCTAACCCCTGCGGCAGACCAGGGGGCCAGGCACAGGTACACGGAAGCTGCAGAGCGGACATGGAAGAAGAGGCAGGTAGTGTCCCGGGGAATGGTGAAGTTGGGAGAGGCCCACTGAGTTCAGGATCCAGTAGGGAGGGAAGAGGTCCTGGTTTGAAGAGAATAGAGGGTGGGGATGACAGAACGCATCAGTCTGTCTGTGTTTGACCTTCACACCTGTTTGCGGGTGGACGGATGAACAGAAGGACGGGGTTATGGGGGCTGAACGGGAAGGTGGGGGCAGCCAGAAACCGCCAATGGATAATTTGGGTGGCAAATGGATTGACAGTTGGTGAATTCGGTGCTGCCTTCACCTGCAGCACACCTCTGTGCGAAATCTACAGGCACCCTTTTCTTCCAGACATAGGCAGCCTCAAGCCAAGGTACATGGCTTAGGGATCAGAGCGTCAAATGGATTACAGTCCCCCACTCACCCCCTTGGGTGGCCTTCGTATGTATGACACACCTGTCTAACTAGACAAAGTGGCCACAGTTGAACCAGAGAAGAGAAAACTGGATGGAGGAGAGCACAGACGTGCGTACCCTCCCCGGCTTCATTATCCCACCGTGATGGGCTCAGAAAGGTGTCCATGACCTTAATCCTCAGGGTCTGGGCAAACAAGCAAAGGGGGTAGATGCTGAGCAGGGGCCCTGGAGCAGGACGTGGAGAGGCCCAAGGACAACTATTTTGTGAGAGTGGAATGGAACCTTGCGGGTACTGCCACACAAGCAGGAAGGCAGAGCGCACCTGTGACTCGGAAGAAAGGCCATAGGAGAGGCTTAATAAATGGTTTTACGAGGGAGGCCAGCTCCCTGGGGAAAGTAGTTTGTCCTTGGAGCACAGTGGCAGGGCCTCATTCACAACAGTGTCAGGTGTGATATTCAAAGACCTGGTTCCCAACACCAGAACGCAGGGCAGGTGGAGGTCAGAAATACCCCACAGCTACTGAGGGAAGTGTGCATCACACTAGGAGCCCACACAAGCTGTTAGAGCCAGAAGTGTGAGCGCATTAGCAACCAGGAAGCTAAGGATTGAGTAAGGCAGGGGGGAATGGTGGGAGCCAGCAGTTACGAAGCTTTGCATCACTCACCTGGAGGGCTTGTTAAAACACAGATTGTTGGTCCCACTCCCAGCATTCTGACTCAGTAGGTCCGGGACAGAAACCAAAAATCTGCACGTCTAACTAGTTCCCAGATCTAACAGGTTCCCAGACCGTGCTGACACTGTCAGTCTGGGGATTACACTTGGATGAGGCATCTAAGCGGAGGAGAAGCCGGGGGAGCTGAAAAGAAGCCGAGGATTCTTAAGGAGCAGAGAAATGAGAAGGGAAATGTCGGGAGGGAAAGAGGACCCAGGTCCAGACTGAAGAGCTTAACTGAAACGGCATCGGTAACTGGCCAGTGACATGCTGGGGCAGCATCCGGGAAGACCAGAGGGCAACAGAGGCAAGAGACGGCATTTAGGGGACTCCTGAAGAGGCAGTGGGGAGCTGAAGCTGATGGGCTTCACCACAAAGGACCGACTCTCTTACAGGACTGAGAAGGCAAGACTGACCAGGGGAGAAAATGGAGCCGTGCCTTGCGGGTGCCTGCTGCCTGCCGCCTGTCCTGCCAGGACAGGGAACCCTGGAGAGACACACTCCCTTCCCCCTTCCACTGTATCCTGGTCTTGTCCCAGTCATCTTGGGGTGGTGAGGGAGAGAGCAATGGCAAATTGAGGAACAGAAGATCAGTCAAGGGACCTGAGGCTGGGCCCCTGGAGCCAAGTGTAGCCCCAGTGATCATATCCTCTCAAGGCACTGGTCCAAACCTTGGCCCTGGCCACGCCCATCCCTGCCCTTGAATAAGTTTGAATAAGTCTGCTGCCCTGTTCCAGGCTGAGAAGCCAGCATCCGACGGGGCACTGTGTCTGCCTCCCAGTGGCCACCCCAGAGACACCTCGAGCTGTTGCCTCTCCCTTCAGCCTAGCAGTGCACTCAGGTTTCAGGCCCTCCACCGGGGTCACTCTCAAAGAAGAGGACCGTGAACATGTATCTGCTGGGATCCTGCATACACATAGGAAACTCGAGCACAGACAGTGACTAGGTGGAGTCTGGATGAGAGGGGTGGAATGGAGACATTGGAGCTGCCCCGGAAGTCACTGGGATGCCACACTCAGGGCACCGCTGTCCAGGGCACTGTCGATGCTGACTGTCACTAATCACCTCTATGACTCTCAGCAAGATACATTACTACTTCTCTGGGCCTCAGTTTCCTTATCTGTAAAAAAAAAAAAAAAAAAAAAAAAAAGTGATAGTTGGCAAACTCGTAATGCTCAATAAATGCTAAATTACTGAATTAAAAAGGTAGACTGGATACCGCAGAACCGAGGCTGTTAGGACCAGAGGACCCTTGGCAGGGAGGAGCAGCTAGCCAGCAGGCAAGTCCCGGCAGCAGATATGAGCAGATGCAGTGGCTCCGTGTCCACAGAGGACACAGGCCTCCCAACTGCTGCAGTCCCTAAGTAGGCAGCCTGTACTGAGGCTCCCATTCTGCTGCTGTCAAAGAGAATAATTAAGGTCGGGAGGAAAAAGACTGAGGCCCCAGGGCCTGGTGGGAGGAGTCTTGCCCAAGACTAGCCCAACCAGGAGAATGAGACCGGAGGAGGGTGTGGCCCAGTCTGGGAAGCTCAGAAAGACTTGTCCCTGGAAGCTGTGTGAAAGGGGGCCAAGCTCAGCTGCAACTCACCCCCTTTCTGTGTTCCCCTTCCCAAATAGAAGCCCCATTAGGAGTTGGCGAAGCACTGACTTTTGAGGCAACAGATGGGCTCCAGGCATCCCCTCCCGCAGTGGGTGGGTAGCAAGGCCCACGAAGGACAGATGTTGTTTATAGTGAGAAGAGAGGCCTGGGTTGTCCAGAACGGGTGGTCAACCCCCAGCATCGAGTCTACTACCATTCCCCCTGCCCCGTCCCGCCCCCTGTCGCTGCCTTTTATAGCTTCATGGCAAGGGAAGACACAACAGGCCTGGATTTCTATAAAACCAGTTTATTCACATTTTAGAAAAACTAGTTTGAGGACAGGAACTGGCCTTCCTACAGTATGAGTGCGAGACCAAGAACACAGGCCAGAAAACTTGAGGAAAGGTATGGGGAATGGGGCGGGGAATGGGGGAGCCATGTCTCCCACTCTGGATGGGGCCAGGTCAAATAAATTAAGGAGGGCTGGGCAGAGGGCAAAGGTATCCAGGCAACCGGATGAGGGGTGGCGCTGGTTGGAAGACAGTTGACAACCTGGAAGAACTGGAGAGAGGGAGAGAGCCTGTGGAGTAGGCTGAGGAACAGGCTCTCTTTGGTCCTGTCCCTGCTACACGATGCTACAGGACTGTGCTGGCTGCTTCTCCTCTAGGCACAGCTTAGCACAGAAGCCTGAGGAAGACAGGGTTCAGGATCCTTTCTCTCACCTGGGGTGCTACCAATCACCGCTTCCGCATCCTCTTCATAAAGCAGCAAGTGATGGTAGCGAGGACGCTGGCACCAGTGACTAGGGCGACTCCTGTACCCACCAACAAGGGCACGAAGAGGGTATCCAGAGCTGGCGGAGAAGAAGATGGCAGCTCTGCTAATGCTGCACTGCTCTCCAACACTCTCCCTGGCAGATTTTCTAGACTCACCCCCTATTCACAGAGCGCCATCCCTGTCCACCCCCTACCTGCCCGCTCAGCTCTCAGGTCAGCTTGGGGCTGCTCTTGCAACGGGATTCGGGGGAAAAGATAGCAGGGGGAAGACAGGAAGATGAAAAGGGGCAAGCACAGCAGGAGCGGGTGGGTAGGGGGTGGTTGTCACTCACCATGCGTGTAGGGGTAGACCGTGACAGGCCCGGAGCGCGCGCTGCCCGCCTGGTACCAGCTGTAGTCAGCATGCTGCACCCAGGCACTCGGGGCACAGTGGTAGATGCCTTCGTCCTCGGGCCCCAAGCTGTGCAGTCTCAGTCGGTGACTTCTGGGGCCCACCAGCTCCACACTGACAGGCCCACCTCCGGGGCGGACTCCCAGCTCTGCCACGCCATCCTGACCCACTCCACCCACCAGCTGAGCGGGGCCAGAACTCAGCTCGCCCTCCTCCGGTCTCTCCACCCACCAGCTGGCTGCTAGGCGCAGCCCTGGGGGGCCGCCCCGCACAGAGATGTTGCATAGCAGGGAGGCAGTCTCTCCCCGGTACACAGTGCCCCCTGCCAGCCACGCCACGGCCTCCAGCACCACACCTGCAGAGCAGAGAACACGGGGGTTACAGGGCGAAGGCTAGGCACTAGGAGCTTAAGAAGTAAGTTCTATAAGCTTTGGGCCTGTGAAGGGCTCAACCTCCTCTCACCTTCTTCTCTCACGTGCACAGGGAGAGGCCGGGATCGAGCACTGGCCGCTTCACGAAGCCGGGTCCCAGAGCCTCGAACATAGGCTTTGGCGAGGCAGCGGTAGGTGCCTGCATCACCGGGCCTGGCAGCTTCCAGCCGTAGTCTGTAGGTTCTGGATGCCACTTTCTCCATGGCAATGTGCCGGTCCTCATAACCAGGGCCCAAGCTACCTATACCTTCTGTGTCCAGCTGGGCCACCAGGCGGCCTGGCCCAGGAGCCCCAGCAGGGGCCATCTCCCAGCCCACAGAGTACGCAGCGTGACGGCCTGGTGGGGGCAGAGCCCCCGACACATTGCACAGCAGTTCTAAGGGCTCACCCGGGCCAATCCGACGTTCACCAGGTCCCACGGTCACTGCCAGCTGGCTGGCTGAAACACAGCAGGGGAAAGGAGGGGTCACAGAGATGCCTGGGTCCCCCACCTGTATTTCCTCTTTGCAGAAACTCAGAGGCCCTCTCACATGTGCCTCCCGCCAGGACCTGAATTTCACCCTTCCACACATAGCCCTTGTATCTCCACATCCAATTTCTGAGCAGAGGAGACATGGAGAGAGAGAGAGAGAGAGAGAGTGAATAATGTGTAGAAGACAGCTCACTCCATGGGAGAACAATTCTGTAGTCAGGTGATGGCCATACTTACACAGCGTCTGCACGTCCACGTGGGCCAGGACGGCTCTCTTCTCTGCAATCTGGACCCAGGAGCCATCAGGATCCTGAATCCACTCGGCGGCAGTGCAGTGGTAGGTGCCGGAGTCCCCGGCCTGAGCACCCCCAACCACCATGCGGTAGCGGTCGGTCCCTTCCTTGCTCAGCCTCAGCTCCCCGGCAGCCAGCCTCTCGGCATAGGGAGCTCCAGCCTCCACGGCCATGTCAGAGCGCAGTCCTACCACTTCCTGAAGAGTGGCCCGCCCCACTGGCGCCTCAGGCGTGGCTCTCCCAAAAGACACCGACAGGTGTGTGTGCTTCTTTGTTTTGGTCTGAGCCAGGCAGCCCAGGGCCAGCTCCTGCCCCTCATGCACTGTCAGGCGTGAGGGGGAGGTTGCAGCCTGGCGTCCTCGGGGCCCTGGAGGGGCAGCAGATACCTGCAGCTCATCTGGAAGAACTGGAGAGAAAGGGCTTTAGTGAGAGAGGGCTGGTTGCGGGCAGCCCCCTTGTTTCCTGTGTGCATCCTGCTTTGCTACATGCTCTGTGAGCCCCGGGGGGGGGGGGGTCACTGTATTCTGCAACTTTCCCCAGTGATACCAAGGCCAGCCTGAGCACATCAATATGCTCAGTAAGTACTTACTCAATTTCACAGAGCAAGCCTAATGACACCCACTCAGATGCCTGAGATAGACCCATCTTAAAATACTCAGAAAAGTAACTCTGTCTCTCTTCTCTGAAGATAAAAGGTTGGACCTGATGGTGCAAGTCCGTAATCCCAGTTTCCCAGGAAGCTGAGCAGAAGGATCAAGTTCAAGGCCCACCTAGCTACAGAAAAAGTTCAATCCCCATGTGGGCAACTTAAAAAAAAAAAAAAATCTCTTCCATCCCATTCTCTACCCAACCCCAAAGAAAGTGCTAGAAAGGCTAACACAGGAAGACTGCCTGGGCTACACAGTGAATTGTAGGAGAATTGCCGAGAGTTGCAGGCCAACCTATGTTAATGAGTTGTAGGTCAGCCTGGGCAACAAAGTGAGACCCAATCTCAAAAAGCAACCCAGGGGATAGAGCTTAGTAGCGTGCTTCCTAGGTGTGCTCAACACAGTAGGTTCAGTCTCCAGGACTAAGAAGGGGGTGGGGGTTGGTAAGAAGAGAAGGAAGAGGAAGAAAAAAGAGGAAGAGAGAGAAGGAAGAGGAAAAAGAAGAAACAATTCTGAGTGTGCTGGCTTATGCCTCTAACCCCGGTATTCGGGAGGTTCTCTCACTACCCAGCTCAGAGCCCAGTACCTCTCAGTTCCACTTTAGCACTATAGTTGCCCAGGTACTGGGAATCCGTAGAGGGGGTGTAGCATTCATAAAAGCCAGAGTCCTGGGCCTGCAGGCGAGCAATCTTGAGCACCACAGAATCCCCTCTCAGGCGCTGCACCTGCAGGTCACCGGATGCCACGCGAGGCCCGAAGACAGCGTAGGAGAACTGTTTGTCCTTGGTGCTGATGATGCCCAGGGAAGTGGCTGGGGCCTCTGGTCTGTACATGAACCACTCAAAGTCTTGCTGAGAAGGGCCCTCATAGGCACTCACGTTGCAGGAGATAGAGACAGCGGTGCCAGCCACACGGTAAAGAGGCCCCTTGGGGACATGCACCTGCCGGCCATAGCACCTGACTCCTGTGGGGAAAGGCAGAAAGAACTGCAATCTTTCTAGAAAGAATGGGTCGCCATTCAAGGCCCAGCACCATCAGGACCTGTCTTGATCGCTGCCTGTGAAGGAAAGGGAAACCTAAGGAAGGTCAGAACACAGCAGGGCTGTAAGACAAGGGTGAGAACAGGGAAGAGCTGCTGGGACATAAGCGACACAGGACATCACAGCACACGGCACAGACCCAGATCCGTCTCCAAACAGAGGAACACTCTAGATCTCGCTAACCAGAGGCCGAGCACCTGCGTGAACAAAAGAGTGCAGCTGGAGGCTGGGGAGACAGCCCAGCTCTGAGCTGAGTTCCCTGCAACCACGTAAAAAGCTCGGCCTGGTGGCTGGTGAGGTGGCTCAGCAGGTAAAAGCAGTGGCCACACAAGCCTGCCAACCTGAGTTAGATCCCCAGAATACACCTCGGAAGGAAAGAACCGAGTCCTGAAAGCTGTCCTCCGACCTAAACACACACTCACTCACTCTCTCATAATAATAGTAACAAATGAAGTGAATGGGTCCTGAGCTGTGGTATCTAAGGCTGACCTCTGGCCTTTACGCAGGTACTCCTATACATGCACTTGCTCCCATGCACACATGTGGATTTCCATGCACCACACACACATGCAATTTATATAATAAATTTAAAAGGCCTGTCTGCTTCCTGCCTCCCTGGTTCTTGTCTGGATCTTTATCTGTCCTACCCTGCCATTCGTGCTGGGAGCATGCTCAGGCGGAGCCTCTGAGACTTTTGCTGGAGGGGAGCTGGCACAGTCTTACAGAAAGGCTGCTTGGCTTAGCTCGGTCACCTGGGCTAGACAATAGAGCCAGTGGCCCAGGCTGGACAGGGCACTGTACTGGACGGGGCATCACACTGGACAGGGCACGGGCCTACTCAGTTCTCACCACACAATACCCTCCCCGATACAGCTGTGCCATGAGCTCACTGCTTCTCCCAGCCCAGAGGGCTATAGTGGCAGCTGTGGCTTCTGGGGCAAGAATCAGGCTCTGCCTTGGCCTGGGGCAGAAGATCCCTTCCCCCCAGAGTCTGTAAACCTTCTGGCCAGCCCAGATGATGCACCATGTAACCCCCCCTCCCACAAACAAAAGCTTTGGTTTGCATATGATCTGCATATATTACACATCATTTACATAGGCCCCC